GTTTGATCCCTGGTACCCGGGGGGTGGGGGGGGGAGAAAATGGGGAAAATAGGAATATGCCTCTGAGAGAGTTGTTGTACAGATAGACACTTCAGCTGAGTAAGTAGTAGCTGGCGTTTCTATCCCGCTGTCTGGGAGAGGCTGTTGCAGGGAGTTGTGTGTTCAAAAGGTTGCTGTGAGGATCCTCGAGATAACAGATGTAAAGTCCTCTATCTTGGGAAGGGCTGGGCATGATAGTAGGTGTGCAAACAACAACTACTAAATTGAGTAACAGACCAAGGAGATGACCCAGTGAAGCAATTAGATAGAAGTTTAGACAGCCAGGCTCAGCTCCCTGTGGAATCTGGATCCCACCCTTCCTGCATTCTGGGCTATGAGGTAAAAGGCTGCTCTGACCTCTGAGGTCCTACACAATTGAGTGGCTTGTTGTTTGTAAATAAAATACTGGCACCAAGCCTCTCCTGACCCTACTGATAAGGACAGCCAGGCGGCTGCCTGAGGTCCGGTCTACAAGAGGTGGCGGGGAGGAAAGGAGCCTCCAGCCCAGCAGGCTGGGGTCAGGAAGAGACTAAGCGGAAGAAAGCAAGACTTCCCTTGCACTGGCCTTGCCCACTGGGCTCACTAGAAAACAAACTGGGGAGAGAATCTCCAGACAGCAGGGTCTGCCCAGGGCCTCTCCCTGAGGCATCCTCAGTGGCCTCCCCACAGGAGGGAAAACCCCATAGTGACCAGTCAGTTCCTGAAAGAGGTGTGGTGAGTGGGGAAGGCAGAGGAGGAGAAAGTGGGTCCCCTTCACTTGTTCACCCCTCTCTCTCAGTCTGAGTTTCCTCAGGTGGGTGGGATAGAGGTAGGATCATTAGACCTCGTAAATAAAACTTTCTAGGACAACCAGTCAAATCTACATTTCAGAGAAACCACTGCTGTTTTAGCCTAAATATGTTCCATGCAATCTGGGGGACATGCTGAAACAATCGTTGCTTGTTTGTCTGAAATGCACTGGAAACTGGCTATCCTGGATCTCGTCAAGATGAGGAATGTTGTAGGCCTTGAGCTGGGTGAGCCTGCTATAAATCCAGGTGGGACAGGCTTGTAGACAGAGAGCCTGGGGACAGAGCCAGCCATGACAGCAGGACACAGCAGAGGACATACTTGGTGGCCCTCCCACTTTGGGAAGAAACACAGAAAGGGTTACAGGAAAGTCTCCAGAACTACTAGTCCCCAAGCAAGAAAGCAAGAGGGACTTCAGGACAGGGAGGATTTCCTTCTTTTGGAGCCCAGGTCAGCCCTAACCTTTACCCTGAAGAGCTGCAGGGCACCCAGGAGCTCAGTGGGTCCCTGTTCCCTCCAAGACAATCAGGCAGGGAAGGCTGCTCCAGGGGACCCCTCCATGGGTGGCTGGGATCAGGTACTGAGGGGCGCCCTGGTGTCTGAAAGGCAGCCCCACAAAGGGGGGGCTTGTGGCTTCTCTGATAAGACTGCTGCTTACCAGAGGTGAGTTGCGTCACTTCCCAGAACCCCAGGCTCCCTTGGTGGCCCCACCTATAGGCCTGCCTATCAGTCAGCACTCTAGTGAAAGGCATTTTCATAACAATGACAAAATATTGAGTCCATCCTCTTGCCCAAGTCACTTGCTCAGTTTTGTTTTGCTCATCTGTTTTATGTTTTCTAGGACAGGGTCTAACTCATTATGTGGTCCAGGCTGGTGTTGAACTTACAGGGATTCTCCTGCCTTAGGATCCCATAGGCATTAACTGCCCAGCAGTGGATGGGGGTCAACCCCAGGTCATGTGACTTGGAAGCCTCCGGGTGCCTGTATCCCTCTTTCTGCCTCTTTCTCATAGACCTGATACCGCTGCTCCTGATGCACTTGTCCTACGGTCAGGGGTCATGGAGAAAGGACCTAGACTAGGTTTTCTCTTCCTAAATCATTAGTCTCTAGCACAGAGGAAATAATGATGTTTGTTGAAAGATAAACCTTGTTGTAAATAACTCTTGTTCTAAAACATACCCAGAAGCCGGGAATTTAGCTCAGTGGCATGAGGTCCTGAGTTCAATTCTCTCCCCGAATAAAAAATGCAACACACCCAGGATCCCTTCCCTGCATCCCCCTCCTGCTCCCTCCCCCTCTCCCTGTCCTTCAAGCCTGGCAGCAGCCAGTACTCAGAGCTGTTGAAGGGCCTCCCTCCCATGTATGCAGTCGCAGCAGAAGGGACTGCCTTGTGACTCATCTATCTTTCAGTCTCCTCCAGCAGAAACCCCACTCTGGCCTGCTGGGCACTGGGACATCTTCCATGCCCAGAAGGTTATGCCTTTGTCCCCTACGCAGATAAACAGCCACACTAGGACTCGAGCGATGGGCGGTGAGGGAGCCTGTTAGAGGGCAGGGCCAAGCCCTTGTGTACGGGGGTAGTGCGAGGCCCAGGGCGAGAGCCAAGCCTTTGCAATGGCTTCCTTGTCTCTTCTTACCCAGGGTGGAGGACACAAGCGTTCCTGTAGAGCCGAGCCCTGAAGACTGGGGACACTGCTGCTTACATAGTGCACATGCGCGTGCACACGAACGCCCTCCACGCCTGGGCCCTGGCACCCTTTGCAACCTTCCGCCCCTTCCTCTTCCTCCCCCCCACACAGTCAGATCACAGCCGCAGGAAGCGGCAGGCAAGTGCGCAGGCCAAGGGCCAAGACGCGGAAGTTTATCTTCCAAGGGTTGTCTAAACACACGGGGAGTATTTTTATCCAGACTCTTGCCAGGATGCTGAATTTCAACAGGGAGACAGGGAGGTGCCCCTTAGGGAACAGAAAGCAGCAGGTGGAAACTGGGTGGGCCGGAACACTGCAGGCGCCACCACCCTGTCCCTTTCGCATCTTCCCTGGGCAACTGCTGCAGGAGAAAACTGGCCATGGACGCTGAAGAAGTGCAGTGACCACAGGCTCTGAAGGCTCCTGGGTCCTCTGGGTCTCAGTTTCCCCAACCATGCAGTGAGGGAATTTGTACCCCCTCAGTAGGATTGTAAGACACATGCCTGGTACATGTGCCTGCACCCACTGACAGAATTGACTCAGGGGAGAACTGGACCCTGACCAGGTGGGGTGCAAGAGTCTCTCCAGGGAGGGGGGCAATGGGGAACTGGGGCAGCATGGAGGGAGTGAATTCCTTGAGGAGGAAGCCCTTCATGAGTACTCCCTGGCCTGCAGCAGGGTTTGCTGCAACTGCGGACCTTGGGCTCCCAGTTGTGGGGCGGAGCCTGGGGAGGGCACTGCCTGTTCCTGCAGTGGCTGGCAGGAGACAGCCAGGTGACCTTGCTGGGGTTGTGCGCTGGCAGCACCTGCTCTGCCTCCAGGCCACAGGGAGGACAGGCAGGACATGGGGAGGTGGCCTGGGCTGTGAACAAGCTGTACTCATTTGGGCTCCTGCTACCAGCTTTATAATTAGGAGACAGGGATGGGCAGGGATGGGGGTGCTTCTTGAGCCTTCTGTCCTAGTAGCAGAAGCCAGGACTTCCCCCTTGCAAAAAGCAGAGCTGTCCTGGCTCTGCTGCCCTGTTATTGCTGCTTGCTGCCTTCCCCCTAGGATGGAGGTGGACAAGCAGATGGGAGTGGGAGACACAGCTCTGATCTCAGAGTCCTGGCCTGGGAGGAGACAGCTTGGCCACCCCTCCCCTGCAGGCTGTGTGGGAACCAAAGGAAAACAGCCAGGGCCAGCCATCTGCACACCCCCTGCAGAACAGGCTGCCTGCTATTGCCAAGCAACCACAACACCACCCCCCAGCTGTGTGGTCACTGGAGGGGGCAGACTTATTCTTGGTCATAGGGAGAAGGATGGTAAGGAGGTAGGGAGCTCTTTTCCCTCTTCCTGGGCTTAGCTGGGGTGGCAGGGACATGGGGTTGTCATGGTAGGAAGTTTAGGAGTTCCTGTTCCAGGCAACAGACCACAAGTGCTTCTAGGACTCACACCTCTGAATGTAGGAGGAAGCACACCAAGGCCACCAAGTGTCCCTTTCTGCAGGTCCACACGTTCTTGTGAAATGCAGCCTGCCTGGATCACAAGGTCTGGGGGCTCTCAGGGCCTAGGTTGCAGGGCCTGTCCCCTGTCCCTACTTTCCTTCTCCCCTGGTTTTCTGGGGAACCCCCACCCCCCACCTCCTCCAAGTCTCCCTCCCCTCCACCTTCAGCCCCTGGAGGGAAAAACAGCACTAGAGACACAATGGGTAGAGGTGGGGCTGTCCTTCCAGGATAAGTCCCCAGGCCTCTTCCTGTCACACCCCAAGCAGACCCATCAGCAAATCCTACTCCTGGACTTGGGCCACAACCTGGGAGCTATGCCCTCTGCCTGCACCTCCATAGCCCTGTTCCATGGGCAGCTCACTGTGCCCAGGGGTGGCTGTTCCTGCCTCCTTCCCCCACCTGAGGGCCTGTTTCCCTGCCTCCTCTGGGCTTCTGCTCTCCCTGACTTGCGGTTTCCAAGGCACTGACAGCCTTCTGTCACAGATGATGGGTCCCTGTGTCCCTTTCATTTATAATCTGACTTTCCGTGGGCCTGTGCTCCAGGAGGGCAGACACTTTGCTCTGTTTCTCCCAGCCATATCTCCAGTGCTTGGGACATAAAAGCTGAAGTACCTGTGCCAATAAATGCAGCCCCCACTCGCTCCCCTGCCTCCCCTGCCTGAGCCACTATGTACAACCCTGCTCTCCCCAAGACAGAAGAGAAGGCATTGGGCTGGTGCTGAAGTGGGCTCTGCCCTGGCTCCAGTATGTGGCCTCTGTCCAGCCACTCCCTCCTGGGCCTCAGTTTCCCCCTTGAAGGAACTAGATTGTAACTCCTGCTTTCATCATGAAGAGAGTGGGCTGGAAACAGGAAAGTCACACAGGAGGGGGTGGGGATGGGGCAGGCAGTGCCTGTCTGGTAGAGCTCTGCAGGCCTTGGAGCCCCTGCCTTGGCACGGGAGAGGGGTGGGCACAGGCAGACACAGCTGTGGGAAGCTGTAAACAGGCTTGCGGAAAGCTTCTCAAAAAATATACCCATATTTTAATCACCAAGAGTCCAACCCAGGAAACATAAAGACTGGAAGCCAAGTCCTCTGAAGTCTACGGTCAGGGGGCACTGTCCAGAAATGAGCCATTGTCAGAGGACACCGGACGCCAGGTAGGTGAGCGCAGGCAGCAGCAAGGCAGGCAGGGGCACGGGCAGCAGCTGTCCAGGGGCCCGCGATGTGTACACCAGGCGGTCTCCCAGGGGCTGCACGGGCCTGACATTGTCTGTCATCTTCTGTTTCTCCTCATCATCATAGTACAGCTTCTGGGAGAAGGCCAGGATCTGCGGAAGGGACAGGGCTTGGCAGGCAGGAAGGCCAGCAGGGAGGGCAGGCAGGAGCAGGTGTAGACACTCCCTGCCCTGCTGTGACCTCAGGCCAGGTGCCTCGCCTGCCTTCCTGAGCCTGCTCAAGGAAGAAGGGCTCAGAGCCATTACCTCTCAAGGTTGTTATGAAGACTGAGGAAAAAATAAGGGATATAAAGTGTATGCCATGGGAGGTCCCGTTAAATTTCCCTGACTCACAGTGTACAGGGCTTACTGCATACTGTTACCTCTGTCATCGCTACAGCGGCAGCACACTGGCTCTCAAACTCAGCACACATTAGCATCTCTGTGGGGCTCTGCTCCTGCCCAGCCATCAGGGCAGAAATATCCTAGCTCTCTCTCCTCTGCTACTCCCGTGGATGTCTGAGGACTGAGTCAAAGACTTTCACTTCCTGGGGCCTTGCCGGGTCCCTGCCTACCTGGTCTTTGTGGAGCAGAATGTGCTCTTTGAACACAGTCCACACAACTGTCTCGTTGCAGGCCGGTGTGGTGAGCGAGCCCTGGTAGCGGAAGTAGTGTCGCAGTCTGTCCTCCTTGGGCAGCAGGTCCATTATGCTGCTTGTCTCCATGGTGGTGCTCATACCTGGGCAGGAGACAGAACCCCTCACACATCTCTGTCTGAGAGCAGCTGCCCCACCCCCCTGCCCATTCCTTTGGGTGCAGGGGGAGGTAGCCTCCTCCCCCAGGTGGACTCACCGGGCTTGGGGATACGGCTCAGGGCCTCCAGCAGAAGTGCGAAGCCTTCATTGGGCTCATTTCCCTCCTGCAACAAGAGGGAAGTGGGCTGCGGAGTGTCCCAGGAAGCCCAGTACACTCCAGCAGGCAGCTTTTGGAGCTGGCGCTGAGCCCGCTGTCCCCAGAGCACAGGGGCAGTCACCCCAGCTCTCTGGATCCTGGGGATCCGCTTCTCCCACTGGGACTTGGGGCGCAAGTGGAAGCCCTACCTCCACGAGGAAGGCCAGCACGGCAATCTGGTCTTTAGGGTTCTGGGCCTCTTCCTTGAGGCTCCATGTGCTCGTCTCCTTCTCGTGCACGATGTGCATCTGGTAGAGGTTGGGTGGAAGGAGAGCGGCACGGTGAGCGGCGGGGAGCGCCCTTCTCGCCCAAGGCCAGAACACACCCAGCGCCCCTCGGAGCAGTGGCCCTCACCTCCATGGCGAAGCGTTGCCCATTGAGGCTGTGCTCCGAGCCCTTGTTCAGGCTCTCGGACCAGTGCAAGTGCAGCTGCGTGGCCCGATACTGTGTGGCCAGGCCTCCTCCCCTAATCGTGACATCAGGTTTCAGCGACACCATTACTGCGGGACAAGAAGTGGAGCAGAGTTCTTACATGAGGCTCCCCTCGGTCTCTCCAGCACCACCCATGGGACCTTCTCTCTCTGGCCCACAGGTGGACTCCAGCTCCTTCTCTGACCACCTGGCTCCACCAGCTTCACCTCTCCTGTACACTTGGGGCTGCCCCCAAGGGCAACTTCCGTATTGCCTTCTCTGCTGTGACTGGGGTGGGGGTGGGGTGGGGGGCAATGTCCAGACTCCTTGGCCCTGGATGACACCCTCCCTGCCTTACCTGCCCCCCCCCTGCCGCCTCCCACCTTCTCCTCCTTCCACTACTACTGCTGCTGAGTTCCTCCACTGGAGCTGCTCCATACCTCCTCCCACTTTCACACCTCCTTGCCTCTGCTAACTGTCCTCCCTTTTTCCTGGAACCCTCCCTTCCCCCACACCGGTCTGCTGGTCAGGTCTGATGAAATGACTGACAACACAGCTCAAACATGCCGCCCCCTCCAGGAAGTCCTCTCTGCCTGTCCCACCCTCCCCAGCGGGGTTTTCAAGCCCTACTTCAGCATACAGCCACCCTGCCTGTTGGAGCCCTGCCCTCCCTGTCCCCTGTCCTTTGGGCCTCAGCCCCAAAGCCCACAACTCTGTCACCCACCTGTGTGCCCGTTGTTCTGGACAGTCAGCCTTTCCTTCTTGTCATAGCCAGAGAAAGAGAAGTCCTTCAGGTTGTGGTCCAGCCTAGCCTTGTTGGTGACAATATCAACCGGGGACTGGTGGCTCTTCTGGCACTCTCCATCCCACTGGGCAGGCCCTGAAGCAGGGACAACAGTGCTTCAGGTCAAGGGCCAGGCTCACATACCCTCGAGGGGCAGTGTGTGGTGTGTGTGTGTGTGTGTGTGTGTGTGTGTGTGTGTGTGTATGAGAGAGAGAGAGAGAGAGAGAGAGAGAGAGAGAGAGAGAGAGAGAGTGCGAGCGAGCTCTGGGGTGGGGTCAGCCCCCGGTGTGGTATTTGTGTGGTAACTAGCTGCTGGGGGCAATGACTTCTGCAGCAGCCTGGCCTCCTGCACTGGCAACTCCAAGCCCGGTAAGGCCAGGGCTGGGCCAGAAAAAGTACACTGTGTGGAAACTGGTCACTGCAGAAAAAGTGCCAAGAACCATCTTCCGGGCCTCCTGAACCGGCATCACTGGACTAGAACCAACCCTCCATTGTACTGGGAAAATGACAAAACGTGCTTTTCTCTTTAATGCTGCTGCTGATTTATTTCCCAGGCACTTAGCCTCTCAGTGACAGGTAGGGGTGAGGCTTCAGCTCCCCATCCCGTTCCCATGTCCCCTGAGCACCAGGAGTGTGCGTGTGTGCGCGCTGGGGACTAATGTGAGGGGGCTCATCCTCCTCCCTACCCTCCCATGTCCTGCAGAAGGGCCTGTCCCCAGGGTCTCCATGTCCTGCAGAAGGGCCTGTCCCCAGGGCTCGTAGAACTCACTCTGGCAGTTCTGCTGGTAGTTGTCAGCTTGAATGTCGTAGCACCAGTGTGACTCTGAAGCAGAGAGAGGAAGGGAGTAAGGCCTGTGCGTGTGAACTGTGTGCACAGGACTCTAAGTGGGAAGGGGACTTCAGAAAGCATGGGGGCCCACGCCTGTGATCTCCACACTCAAGAGGCTGAGGCAGGAGGATCCCCGTGAGCTTGAGGCCAGCCTGAGCTCATAGTGAGAGAAGTCCAGCCTGAATAACATAGTGAGACCCTATGTAGTGGGTAGTGGGTGTGTGGCCCCCCAGGTCCCTCCCCAGGGCTGCCCTGAACATTCTCCCTGATAATCAGCCTTGTCCTGCTCCTTCCAACTCAGGAGGAAGAGCTTCTGCTCCCCTGGTGTGCAGATGCTGGAGGACACAGCGGCCCCCAGCCCCTTCCAGGAAGGCTTTCTCTGTTTTGTTCTGCTTTGTTTGAGCTTATGAAGTTCAGGCTGGTCTTGAGCTCATTTTGTAGCCCAGGCTGGCCTCAAACTTGCAACAATCCTCCTGCCTCAGCCTCCTGAGTACTGGGATTACAGGCGTGTGCCACCACGCCTGGCGTTTCGCTTCTCCTCTCCATGTTCCAACCACTTAGCATGTGGACAGTAGCACCCACCAACTCTGAAGAAAGGCCACCCAGCAAGCAGGCAATATCAATGCCAGCTGTGACGTTGGACACAGGAAAGGAAGCGGTACTGGAGTAGGGGCAAAAGCAGCATGTGCTCGTTTTTCTGTAAATTTAAATCTTCTCTAAACAATAATAAACACATATTCCAGCAAGATGAACAAAATGTTTTATCCAGAGCTAGAATTCTGGCTGTGCTGCTGAGGAGCTATGGGTTTCGGAGCAAGGCCCATCATCTCTCTGAGCCTCAGTTTGGCCATGTGTAAAATGGGATTGGCACATACACATCGTGGGGCTGTGGGGATGATTACACACAGGATGCCATGGAAAGTTCCAGACATACTTGTGAAGTCGCACTGACAAGTCTTTCCCTTCCCCCTGCCTCCCTCCAATGGTTTCCTATCAGTGAGCAGATGGCCAAAGACAGGAGGAGCAGGAAGGGGAGACACAGAATGAGTTGGAAAGAACTCAGGGATAAGCACAACTTCCGGACCAGCCTTGGAGGCTGCTGAGAACAGGGCCTTCCCGCCCCATGCCAGGGCTGTCCTCCACCTGACTCCACTAGGGGTGGGGACCATGAAGAGGTCAGGGTCTAGGCAGTGGGGTGAGGAGAAGATTCCAGGTTAGCAGAGTGTGCGCCCACCCTCATTCCTAGTCCCCAGGAATCACTGTGGGTTTTTAAGTGCTGCTCCTGTATCAGCCTGTGTAGAGAGGGGGTGCAGCCCCCAGAACTGCTGTACCTGGGAACCCCCATGGGAGTCCACTCTGCAGAAGGCAGGTCCCTCCCTGCAGGTGGGCAGAGCTCTGAAGCTGAAGTCTTCCCTGCCTTCCAGCCTTGCTGGGCCTCTTGCTTCATCTCTGCCACAGAAGTCCTTTGCTTTTCTGAGCTCCTGGGAAGACTATTTCGGGAGACGCCCTGCTCAAACCAGGTCCCAGAGAGCCAGCTGGAAGGGCTAGCGGAGAACCTTCCCAGGGGGCCCATCTGCTGCAGGCAGAGCTTTGCTTCGGAATGTGCTCTTCCCAGCCTGCCGCCCGTTTCCAGTTCCTCCCGCATTCGCTGTGGTGACCTATGATCCACCGTCTTAATCACAGAGACTTTTGACCCGTTTGGCTGAACAGTATTGTCACTACCCTCTTCAGGAGGCTGGAGCTGGGAAGCACACTGGTGTGGAAGCCAAGACCAGCGGGCAGGGCTGTGTCCCTGGAGAGAGGGGTGAGTGCCAGCCCCCACCAAGAGCTGTCCCCAGCAGCTCAAGCTCACAGATTCATTCATGAAATCTTGCAGCCCACTGTCTCAATTCACTTCCAAGAGTGTCTGAAAGGAGTGGGGCTGCTCACAGGTCAGATCCTGCCTCCCCCAACCATCACCAGTTAACCAGCCATTGTCCCCACCTTTAGTTTACCTCCCACCCTTCCCCCTTCTTCAGAGAGACTGAAGAAGCTCCTGGACCTTGCTCGCCCCACCCCTCACTGAGGGAAGGGGGAGACCCCTGCACACCAGCTCAGCAAAACCTGTGTGTATGTGTGCCCTGGGCAAAGTACAGGGGCCTCCTGGCCCAGGGGTCTGGGGCTCTGAACCAGGCCAAGTGCTCTCTCCTGACCCCTTTCAGTCGGAGCAGATGCTCTGGGGATTGTCCTCTGCAACAGGTCCTGCTCCAGCCTGCCATGGCCGTGAATGGGTGGGGAGGAAATCAGGTCTTAGTCACTAAACGGGGGAGCAGTTTGTAAGAGCTAGCCTGGCGCCAGCGGGTAGAGCCTCATCACCCTCGTGGGGAGCACCCTTCACAAGCCAGTGAGCCAGCCATGTACACATGCACACGCACCCTTTATCTTTCGGCAATTTTTAGAACACCTGGTGTGACAATCACTATGCCTACACCATGAGACTACAGTTGAAGTGACTTACCCAGTGCAATACACTTGAGTTAATTGCAATTCTTTCTAGTCAGTCCAGTGGGTTCCAAATGTCCAAGTGACATGTATTTTAACATTCTGCCTTTTTGCTGTCCTTCTCCCCTGGGAATGGGGACTCCGCAGGAGTTGGTGAGAAATATTCCTTAAACAGCCGACTAAGCTCACACCAAGGGACACACACTCACTCCCCTTTCTGCAGCCCAGGTAACCCTGGCCCCTCACTCCATTCCAAGTGTGGAGAGTCTGACTTTGGAGGGCAGGTTTGGTTCCCAAGAGCTGTTCCCTGGGTAGATGGCTGGGTCGTCTGTGAAGGGACGTGGGGTCGAGAAGTGGCCAGCACTGAAAGCGCTTTCAGCTCCTTATCAAATATTAACACATCTCCCCTGCCACCTCCCACCTAGACGAATAATTAAGAGCTCGGTCTCACCATTAATCTTTAAACCTGTCCAGAAAGACCGGCTGGGCCAGGACCTGGATCTCCCATTGCCCCCCGCCAGGCTCCCACTCCAGCGCTACAAGCTGCGGAGCAGAGGGAGCCTGAAGCCCTTGGAGGCACAGAATGAGGGCGGAATCGGGAATGCCTGGACCCCAAGTCACCCAGCAGGCTGTTCCTGCTGGAGGAGGGCTCACAGCCCTGAACCGCGGCGACACAACGTGGAGAGACCAGCGGGGACGGGAGGAGAAAGGCAGTGGCGGGAGAAGCATCCTCATCTCAGACTCCCGGTCTCGCCGGGACGCCGGGCAGTGCACACGCGTGCAGCCTCCGCAACCCCGCGGACACGCGTATTTGCCCTCAACCCGCGCCCTGGCACCTGCTCGCTGCCCTCAGGGGGCAGGAACCCCCGGGGGCCCCCATGGCGCGCTCACCTGCGTCAGCCCTGGACGTGGCCAGAGCCAGGACGAGGACAGTGAATGGCAGTCTCATGGTGCGCGACAGCGAAGATCACGGAGCCCGGGGTGTCGCACAGGGGTGGGGGGTACGTGTCGCGATCCTGCCCGCCGGGTTTTATAGCAGAGCCCCGAAGCCGGGCGCGGGAGGCAACTCCTCCCCCTGGCGGAGCCTCCCCTCCCCTCGCCTCGTCCAGTCCGGGTCTGATCCTGCGTTCCCCACCAGCCCCGCCCAGCGCTGCTGCCTCGGATCTATGCGCGGGACCCTCACCCTCGTCGAGTCCTGCCTGCCCGCCCCCGTGCTAGATCCCCGATTTGGAAAGAAAAAGCGACATGAGGTGCTAGACCCACAGGGGCGAGCACGCCAGATCCCCGACCTCCATCATTTTGGCGCCAACACTGAACAGAGTCTCCAAGAGGGTCCTGGAGGTGGTCCTGGGCTCGGGGTGGGTCGGGTGACTCAGAGAAGTGGGGGAGTTGAAGGTGCTGTAGTTTAGACTGGTGGCTCAAGCAAGGACCACTTGCTCCTCTTTTTTTCTCCTAGACTGCTCCAAACTGATTTTTTTCTTTTTCTTTTTGAGACAGGGTCTAGCCATTCAGCTCAGACTGGCCTTGAGCTCACTTTTGTAGTTTAGGCTGGTCTCAAACTCGTAATGATCCTCCTGCCTCTGCCTCCCGAGGGCTGGGATAATAGGTCTGCACCACCACGCCTGGCTCCAAACTGAGTTTCCACCCTGGCCAAGGATCCTTCTTCCAACACTGCAAAGCCATCCGCACACTGTGGTCTCTGTGTTTCTGTGATGCCCCAGGGAAGGGGTGTGGGGATGGGGCACCGGGGTGAGGGTGAGGTCTAGAAATAGAGAAGTAAATTGCAAAGGGACTCAGTGGGAGAGAAGCAAAACTATGTCAGAGGTAGGGCTGGATCCCATGCTGGTCCCTGGTACATAAGATAGGAAGAGAAGGGGCACAGGAGCTAGCTCAGCAGCATAAGCAGCTGCCTGCCTGGCAGGCACAAGGTCCTGAGTTCAATCCCCAGTACCACAAAAGAAAACAAAAGAGATAGGGAGAGATCTGGGTTGAGTGGACCCCTGGTCCTTCCATCTGCCAACCTCTCTGTCCCCTGGCAGGTTGGCTGTGGTTCCTAGCAGTTCTCTTGGGCTGGAGGCTTCCATGGAAGCTTAGTCTGGGGTGGAAGAGAGGAACAGGGCGTCAGGCAGCAGACCTGGAGCCCCTCCATCAACAGGAAGCCCCATTTTTCTGGTCCAGCTACTTCCCCATCCGTTGCCAACCTCTCAGCCCCTACCGGCCTTTGAACTGGGCTAGGGACCTCTGTGGAGGGATTGAACCCTCCCCCAGAGCACGCGGGCGCAGGGCTTCTTCCTTGGGTAGATGTGCAGCCGGCTCCCCCCTTCTGGCCCAGGATCACACAGCCTCACGGGGCAGCTTTGATCCTACAGAGAGGCGGGTGGGCCAGAGGGCAGAGGTAACCACACCAGGCTTAGATCCCTATTGTCTACACTGCTGTGGAATCTTCAGTCACCTACCAGGTACCACGATAGCTGGGAGTGGGGATTCCACTCCCTTTTCTTGTTTTGGGAGTGAGGTGGAATGGATTTATTTTCACAGAGCTGAAAACAAAGTTTCTTTCAGGACTGGGGGATGGGGTAAGGAGAAAGCCTAGGCCCCTGAGACCCAGACCAGCCCCTGATGACTGGGGGAATGTCACTGACTGGAGGGTTGTCACCGGGGTTAAGGGGCTCTGGTGGAGTTAGGAGTTATTGATGAGTGTGACTCTGGACCCACTTCAAAGTCTGTTGCTTTGTGGTCCCTGGAGGAATTCAAGCAGGCCCTGGGTGTGCTTTGAAGTAGGGCCATGCGGGTGGCCCTCTGAGGACAGGGACAGCACCCCAGGCTGAACACAGCACTATGCGAGTCAGCGAGTTCTATCTCCCATCTGTGATCCAGCATTAGACAGATGGGAGGCACACACTCCCGCCCAACATTCCCAGCCTTATCTCCCACCCCTGCTCCAGTCCTAGCCTGCCATAAACCAGTTGCCTGTCACATTGTTCAGGCCACCTGGGGCTAGTTTTCCTGATGGAGGTGAGGTCTGATTTAGGGTCATCAGAGCAGAGATGCATGGTGACATGTGCTTATGATTATGGGCCTATAAAGCTGCCAGCCTGGGCATCACGAGTAGGAAAGACGTGCCGAATGGCCCAGCCCTGCCCCAATCCCAGCCCTGCAATAGCCGCCTTCCTAGGATTCTCTGTGTCCTGAACTTCGTGTCCTGAGTTCAAATCTTTGTTCTCCCTCTGACTCAGGGAAGACCTTGGGCAACTTTCCTGCTCCTCAGATTGTAACTTCCTCATCTATAAAGTGGGATGGATGATAATCCCTGCCCTGCCAACCTCTGACCATAAACAATTACTGGGAACCTGCCGTGATGAATCACAAGCCTTGACTTCAGCAAACTGCCACTCACGTGGTCTGGTCCAGAACAAAAGGGGGCAGTGAGGAAACCAAAGGGCTTGGGAGTCAGGCAACCCTTTTGGGTCCACCTCCCGCTGTGATGTCAGCTGAGTGTGTTTCCCCTATCTGTAAAAGGCAAATTTTATCACAGCCTTATCTTTCTTATCGTAGAGAGATGTGAAGATTCAGTGAGCTACTGCCTGATAGCCTGACAGGGAGGCCTGGCACAAGGTTGGCACACTAGTCCATGTCATCATGACTTCTTTTCCTTTTCCTCCTTCTTGTCCTTTTTTTTTTTTTTTTTTTTTTTTTGACATGACTTCAAGGAAGAGGTCCCTTATCTTGGTATGAATGGAGTACCAGGTGAAAGGGGACACCAGGCAAAGCCAAGGTAGAAGGCCTCCTACATCCAGGCTCCTCCTGAACACTCAAGAATAAGGGAGGGAGCCTTAAATGCACAGACCTGAAGAGGCGAGATTCAAACTCAGCCCTTCTTGGGCCGGCGACAGACCTGAGGTAGATGCTCAGGGAGCTGAGCCCTTGTGATCCTGGTGTTCGTGGTGCCAGAGCAGGTCAGATGTGTAGCCCTGAACAGAAACTACCATGCAATATGTTTAGGGGCAGGGTAGAAGATCGGAACAGGTTTTGGAGCCAGATGGCACTGGGTCCCATCCCAGCCTCAACACTTATCCTTTTCCCTCAGGCTCAGTGTCCTGATGAGGAAAATACAATAAAGGCAGCAGTACTCTGCCACTTGGCTATGGTAGAGTAGGATGCTGGGTAAAGGGCTTAGTAGAGGTCCAAGCATTTAGTAAGTGCTCAACAAACTTCAGCTGTAGCTCACAGCTGTTAGGGGAACAATGGCATTTATACCCCTGAACATTCCAGGGGCGAGAGAAATAACACCTAACCTAGCTAATGGGTAGCCAATGTGTAGGAGGAAACTTCTGGAGGTGAGGAGACCTGAACTGAGTTTGCAAAGACAAGTAGGACTGAGGTGTGTGTCAGTGGTAGAGCACTTGCCTAAGCTTGCATGACACTCCCGGGTTCAGCCTCTACGATGCAAGAAAAAATAAAAGACATTAACTGGAACAAAAGAGGAAGGGAAAGTCATATGGAGGAAATGGAAGGAGAAAAGCCATTTTCTCAGGAACACTCATTAGAGATAAAGCTGGAAAGGAATTTGGGGGCCCAACAGGTAGGACTTGTTTTTTTGGAGATGACAGTAAAAGTTTGGACTTATCTTTCCTTTGGTCAGAGATGACTAGTAACATCCCAGTTGTCTAAATCTAAATCATCCTCCCATTTATTGCCTAACCCCAGAAAAGGGCAGGAAAAGCCGTTGAGGCTCAAGAGGGTAACAACTTGCCCAAAACACCCAGCAAAGAGCACAGAGGTGGGATCTGGACCTCGGGCTCCTGCAAAGTGAAAGCCTGCTCTTCCCTTACTATCTCTCCTCCCCTCATACACACACACTTTCCCCCCAGCCTCTGCCCTTCCTTGTTTTCTGAACCCTTGGTCCTTGCTGATTAGCAGAGGATTCAGGGAAAGGTTTACAGAGATTCCAGCTTGTGTGTCCCTGGATGTTGAGATTAAATCCACACACAAAGCAAGGTTTAATTAATAGCCTGGTCTCTAAGGCTCCTGAGCCTGGACACCTGCCATATTCCTGCAAAGACAAGAAAGCGCCTTTCTGCCAGCATCTGTGGAGGCTGCAGGGCTCTGTCCTCTTCCCAGGGACCACGCTCCCCTGACTTCAGAGAACCCTGGGAAGAGAGAGAAGGGGCAGGGACACAGCTGGAGGCTCCCTGGACCAGGGCAGAGGTGGCCTTCACGGAAGATGGGGTGGAAACTTCTACCTCTGAACAGTTTGCATGACAACAGCGGTAAAATGTGTGGAAAAATCCAACAATGGAGATGACATGTGTTCTGTTCCTGTTGTGCAGAAATTTAGGAAGACGCCCCCACCCCGTGGTTCTTTCCTCCGCTCTCAGCTTAGCCAAGGGAGCCAGCCTCACACCAGCAGGGGACTGGGAGTTGAGCTGCTTTGTGTTTGTGAATGTATTTATTTACATTTGCATTTTGTGGGGGAGAGACACCCAAAGAGGCAAGAGAGGGGAATCGAGTGGGGAGAAAAAGGGAAAGCCACACAGCAGCAGGCGGGGGAGGCAGGTGCAGGGAGGGGACCATGAGCCTCAAGGAACACTGTTGAGTCATTAAGAAGGCAGGCTCTTTCCCAGGGGCTGTGTGTGCATGTGGTGCGTGAACTTTTTCCCCCCAAGTTATCTACTGGAGAACATTTAGAAAGAAGAAAAATAAATCACCAAGTGACTTTTATCTCCTAGAGGGAACCATTTTACAACTTGATATATATATATGTATATATATATATTTCTAACTTAGAAGATTGCCTGCTATCTCACTTGATTAGTGTTCCTTATCTACACACAACACACTGTTTACATAGTATCAGTTTAGCGTCCTGCTTTTCAACCATCATGAATGAGTACAGTGCAAACCTGAGTTCATGTTCCTGCACAGCCGTCACAGCTGTCATTCTGTGGCGGCACCGTAGAGCCAGGAGTGTCTGCAGCTTATTTATTTTCTACTATAAATAACACTGAAGTGGACATC